TGACTGGTTCCGAGAATGTATTCCTCTCTTGAAATAGTGGAATGAAGGAATAAGGCAGTCGCCACCCAAGTTGCAGAATTCTTCACAGATTGTTTCTTTTAGCCCTCCTGCTCAAATATCAACTCTCACCCCCTTTTACAACTTGAAACTGTCCGCGACGCAAGACAGCAAATTACGACAGAGGAAGACATGACTTCTTTTTAATTATATTCTCAATTTTTCTCTTCACACACGAAAAAGAAATATTTTTAAATACCAGTTTCTTTTTGAATACTTTTACCATGACACATTTTAGTAATGCGATTAATAATTAATTAAAAAGAATTAAAACATTAATAATAATATTGTTAATTGTATTTTATTGGAAACTAATAAGTACCTTTTTTTTGCTTTCAGGTGAGTTTTCCTAAATTACTGCCAAAGTGGGTTTTTTTCTGAAGAAAAATGGATGAAAGAAGAAAGGAGAAAAAAGAAGGTAATTTTCCGTTTATAATCTGTAAAAAGGAGAGAACAATGCGCGACAATAATCGAGTAGGAAGTAAAATATTTTTAGGAAACTTAATAAAAGTAGTTGCGGTGTACTTGAAGTACCGTAACTAGTTTACGGTTTACCTGATTCAGTCTGGTCAATTTCCTTGCTTGGTAGCGCACTTTTGTCCGTATGGCGTGCTGACTGCTCGTTTATCCTTCTTGCATTGTTGTACAATTGCTGCACATTACGTGTATATATATATATATATATATACGTTGCGAATAAATATACAGTCTTGTGGATAATGGCGTTTCGTTTAACTGTACTTGCTTAATTTAGAATTCAAAAATACAAAATTGCGATGATACAAATTTTAAAAATTTATTGCTGACATTCCATAACAGGCTTCATACTCATATATGCCACAGGTTAGGAAAATCAGGGAAAAGTCAGGGATTTTTATTAAAAGTAATGGAAAAAATTTAATTTTTAGAATTCATAAGAAAACTCTGAATTTTTTGTGTATTTTTTCTATATTGTTTGACTCATAAACTATATGAAACTACCACGAATTCTAATACAACACCTTCAAAATTTTTTGCTAATTCTGACTAGAATTAATTTTTTAATATTATTTATTTATTTCAAAAGTTTTAATGCAATTATCTTGATAAATAACAAAATTCTTTACAAAAATTCAATTATTTTCAAAAGTAATAAAATTCTTCGAAGAAATTCAATTATTTTTAAAAATTTGAACGAATATCTCGTCAAGAATACAATTATCTTTATAAATAGTAAAATTTTTCGCCAAAAATTTAATTATTTTCAAAAATTTAAATGAAATTCTTTGCAAAATTTTAATTATTTTCAAAAGTTTTTCGCAATTCAATGATTTTTATTATTTACAATTTTCATAAAATTTATCTAATAATTTTATTATTGAAACAATTTTTTGATACAATTCTACCTAAACATTCAATTATTTTCATAAATGATAAAATTTCATTTAGGAATTCAATTATTTTTATCACAGAATTTCTAATATTTTTAATACAATTTTATATAAATTTAAGATTTTAATAAATTCAAATTTAAGAAACATTCCACTATTCAATAAAATAATAAAATTCGTTGCAACAATTCAATTATTTTCATAAATAACTTTTCATTTGTCACAGGAAATTAATTATTTTCAAAAATTGTTATATAATTCTGCAAAAGAATTCAATTATCTTGATAAACAACAAAGTTTTCCACATAAAAGCAATTATTTTAAGGAATTTTGAAAAATTTTTAATAATATTCTTGGCAAAGTTTCAATTATATAAACGAAATTTAATCAAAATTCCTTGCAAGAATTCAATTATTTTCATAAATTATTATTTAAATTATTCTCAGGAATTCAATTGTTTTAAAAAATTTTAATGAAATTCTTGTCAAAATTTCATATATTTTCCTCAAATTAATGATTTTTAATTTTATTATTTTTAATATATATATTAATAAAACTTTCCAAAAGAATTCAATTATTTGAAAAAAAATTTTGATAATCTTCTAAGCAAACATAATCATTTTCATAAAATAATAAATATTTCAAAAGAATTCAATTATTTACAAATATTTCGTAACTTTCTTCGCAATAATTCAATTATTTTCATAAATAATATAAAACTTTTACAGGTATTCAATTATTTCGTAAATAATAAAATTCTTTTTAGAAATTCAATTATTTTCATATATAATAAAATTTTTCACAGGAATTTAATTATTTTTAAACTCAATTTTCTTAAAAAAATTTTCCTAAAAAAGTCAATTATTTAAAATGATTTTTATAAAATTCTTTGCTAGAGTTCAATTATTTAGAAATAATTAAGAAAGTTCTTCGTAAGAATTCAATTATTTTTGAAAATTTTAATAAAATTCGTTTCAAGAATTCAATTATTTACAAATATTTTTTAAATTTCTTAGCAATAATTCAATTATTTTCATAAATAATGTAAAATTTCTACAGGGATTCAATTATTTTGTAAATAATAAAATTCTTTTTAGTAATTTAATTATTTTCATAATTATTAAAATTTCCACAAGAATTTAATTATTTTTAAACTCAATTTTCATAAATTTTTTTCCGAAAAAAATCAATTAATAAAATGATTTTTTATATAATTCTTCGCTAAAATTCAATTATTGAAAAAAAAAATTAAAAAAGTTCGTCCTAAGAATTCAATTATTTTTGAAAATTTTAATTAAATTTGTTGCAAGAATTCAATTATTTTTAAAAATAACTTTTCATTCGTCACAGGAAATTAATTGTTTTCAAATAAAAAAATGTTTTTAAAACTTTCGGTTAAGAATTAAATTACCTTTTTTGTAAATAGATAGCGAAAATATTCTTAAGAATTAAATTATTGTTAGAAATTTTAATAATATTCTTGGCAAAATTTCAATTATTTAAACGAAATTTATTCAAAATTCTTCGCATGAATTCAATTATTTTAAAAATTTTTAATAAAATTCTTCAAAAAGTTTTTAATTATTTTCAAAAATTGTTATAAAATTCTTTAATATGATAAATTTTAGTAAAATTTTAATTGAATTCTTTAAAAGAAATTAATTATATTTAAAAGTTGTTAATAAAATTCTTTGTAAAAATTAAATTCTAAGAAACATTCAATTATTGAGATAAATTTTTTGTATTTAAATAATTGAATTCTCGTAGAATTTTCTAATAAAAAAATAATTTCAGTTAAAATTTTAGATAATAATAATATATTAATTATATATATTATATATTAATATTATTAATATTTTATTATTAATTAACTGTGTTATCTTTAATTATTATTATAAGTTATTGAATTTCAAAAAGTTTGAATTTGAATCTTTTGAAGAATTTTAATTTCTATGGAAAAATAACAATGATTAAATATTTTTTATTTAAAAAAGAAGTTATTAATGTTTTCGAATAATTTTACAATTAAAGAAATTTGTAAATAAATGTAATAGAAAATATTTTTGAGTATCTAATAATTCTTAGAGTGAATCATAATAATCTTTTCTGGTCAGGGAAAAAAGTTAAAATTTTGTCTGGAAATCAGGGAGAAGTCAGGGAAAAGCGAAATTAAATTTTTGTTGCAACCCTGATATTACTAAAATCTAAAAAAATTTAAAGTCAGAGTGATAATGAAAGTCAACCTCAAAATGAAAATAAAATTCCAAGTCTAAGCTGAATTGTAAGTCGAAGTCAAAGTCTTTTAAAGTCAATACATAAAAGTCAGAATCAAATCGAAAGTCGAAGTCAAATTACAAAATCGCACCACTAAGAGTCTCTTATCTCGTATGTGGCTTACAGTTTTAAAAAACTTCTCTTCGAAGTAAAGAAAACTCACTATACGTGTTTCGAAGACACCTCTTAAAATTTTTATCTTTACATGCAATTTACTTGTCGGAAAAAATCACTTATGAAAGTATACGTACAAATAGAGGTATGAGGGAAAAAGCTAAAAGACCTTCCGGTTGGTATGTTTGCTGTACATCAAAGTGAATGCAGTAATGGGATTAGGAAGTTTACCAGAGAACCTGTTTACTCAGTTGATTCCCTGATTTTTATTGACTTGTCAATTGCAGAAATAAGAATTTCATGAATTTTCTTTTGCCCATTTTCTTCTATATCTCGAAATATTATGTGAAAAACTTACAAATAGCTGTATACTCTTTTTTCAAATGTTATTCATTGAAATTATGTCTTCATTTCAAAATACAGGCCTTGCACTCATGTATACTAAAACCTACTATTTATACAATTTTTTTTACGATTACTAATTACTAACGATTACTATTTTACGCTACTATTTGGATATTTTTTTTTATTTATTTTTTTATTTATCAAATGGCTTTTTAACGTTTGAATATTTTCGTGTAGAATAATTGCAAAAAAGGTATTTTTTTGCAATACTTTTTTATTACTTACTTCTGCGGTTATTTTGAGTACCTACGTTTGTTTTCTGAGAGTGCATTCGCGGTATTGTTTCTTTGGAAAGACGTATTTTTTTAAAAACACTTCGAGCAAGTAACTTGGTAATTGCGTAATTATCGGAAGGTAGTTTTCAGGTAATTATTGCTCCTTTAATTACACCTCGTTTATAAAAAAAAACCTGTCGATCTGCTAAATTTAACTCTGAAGAGTTTTAAGTTTCTTTCTTCTACTTTTTTTTTACATTATCTGTAAACTTTTATTTCATTATAATTTTTTTTTCTTTTTTTGTACTTTTACACATTTTTACAAAATATAGAAATAGGTTTATTTAGACTATTTTTTATTGCTGTTAATTTTTAACTTCTGTTTCTTTTACGCTTACAAATTTGGGTAATAAAAAAGATTTTACATTTTTTTTTTTAATTAAAAATCATTTATTTTTTGATTGAATGTAACTTTTATGCAATCTTATGATATAATTCGTGCGTCATTTTGCTAACCGGCCATTGGGGTCGACAGAGTCATTTGTGAACAACTTATAACAAGAGAGTTTATTATAAGTGAAAGGCTACTTAAAAATATGAGGAGACTCTTTTCAAAGTGAGTAACTAAGTAAGAGTACTTTCTCTAGTTTGCAAACGTTTGTCGAACCGTTAACACTTAGAAACAGGTATTCTTAATTTATAGAAATTTTATGCTTAATGTTCAATTTATTCTTTTTCTTAAATTCTCAATCACTTTTTGTCTTTTTGAATAGAATTTCAATTCTGTCTAAAAAAATTCCCAAAATTACTTTTAATTTTTAAAATTTAATTATTTTTTGATAATATAAAAGAGGTGTTATTTTGTTTTTACGACATTATTAATTATTAAATTTTAATAAACACTGATAATTATCAAATTGTTTTTTTTATATATTATAATAAAATTAAACAAGGTTTTGATTATCTATTTTTAAAATTTTATTATGCTGGCACTGCCAAGTTTACAAAATCAATCACTCAGGTGTTGTGAGAACGTTCATGTGGACGAAATTTATAACTTGAGTTAATTAAGTTGATAAACTGCGCAAGTGAAATTAAAAACGTAAATTAACTTTTTTTTTCATTGAACAAATTATTCGGCAGTTAAATCTAAAATGATAATTTAGTGAAAATTTCATTTTATTTAGTTGTTGGAAGATTTATTTTTATTTTATGGTTTTTTTAGGTATACTTGTGTTTGGTCAGTGTACAAAATTTATTATAAAACAGTATAATGTTGTATTTTAATTTTTTTTTAATTCTACTCATTTAAAAAAGTCGATGGTTTAATATTAATATTATTTAAATTTTCCCAAAATTTTTCACGAAACAATTGTCAATTAATAATTTAATATTTAATTATTTTTTTTATTAAAAAAAATTAAAAATAGAAATAATTAGAAATTAAAAATTAGCAATTTAATAATTTAATTTCTTCTCATCTATTCTATTATGTATTCTATATTGTTTGTTTTTGTTTTCAAAAGCGTTCATTACAAGTCGACAAAATTGAAAAATTTTAATTGATTACATTTTACAAGACAGTTTATAATCTCAAATCAGAAAGAAAATTTTTTTAGTAAATTCTGTAATCGTAGAAATTTTTTATTTGAAAATGTAAATTTTTTATTGAAATTATTATTTATATCTTATTATAAAATTTAATTATTTATTCCTGACTTATTTTTATGAAAAAAAAATACAATTTGTTTAAGTTGAAATATAATTTGAAATATATATTTTTTATTCAATAATGTACTATTTGTATATTTTTGGGGTGGAATGAAGTAATACCAAAAAAGGAAATTAAAAATTTTCTTCATTTTAGATATGAAATTTTTTTTCGTTCCATTTATACTTGTATATAGAACTGTTTTATTATTATGCAATGGAACATTAGCTAATTGTCGGTTTTTTTCCTGACCATATATTTTTTTATAGATATGCAAACTAGTGGTAGTAAACTTGTACCAAGCAATTACATCTGCATAAAGAAACTGAAAGAAAATAGCAGATTTTAAAAACATTTTCATTCCTATTTTACATCCCGTTGGTAATTTAAAAATTATACAGCATTTTTTTTTTAAACTTTGAAAACCTTTTAAAGGGATTCTGATTTATAGGAATTTATTTAGTTTATTTATTTTATTTATTTATTTTATTTATCTTAGTGTTTGTTATTATTTAGTAATTGTCGATTAGAAATACAAATAGATCCAAAAAAATCGTTTATTTAATTCAGTGTTTTTACAAAAAGTTTTATTCTGAATTTCCCTGATTTTCCCCTTTCACTGATTTCTAAATTCAATTATTTAAAACTTGAATAATTTTGATAATTAAATATTTAAATAACTTTTTTTTGTTTTACCACAAAAATAAAGTTACAAAAATTTCAATTTAAAAATTTTTGAAATTTAATAATTTCTAAAAATAACTTTTTAAAATTCAATTATTTTCTACAATTTTTAACTGAACTTCATGTCTAAATCGATTATTTTTAATAATGTTCCGAATTCAATTTTTTATATACAAAATTTCAATTTTTTTTCATAAATATATTACTTGAAAAAAGCCAATTATTTTCAATTAAATTTTACAAAATTTCAAGTAATCAAAAATTTTTTAATTATAATTACATTTTATATTTTGAAAAGGTAATTATTATCTTAGGTATAACATTTTCAAAAAAATTTTATAAAAAAATTCTTAAAATTAAATTTTTTTCAATATTTTAAAATTATTTTTTAAAGATAATAGGCAGTTTTACAATTATATTTTCAATTGAAAAATTTCCAAAAAAAAATTGAAATTTCGTTAAATCTTTTGAAAATAATGGAATTTTTCAAAAATATAAAAAAAATCATATTTTTAAAGAATTTTCATTATCATTATGAATATGATTTCTATGAAATTTTAATAAATCTAAAAGAGAAAATTTTTAAAAATTGTAATTTACTTTGTTCGATGATAATTGAATATTTCAAAATTGTAATACAATGATTCTAAGAATATCCTTTTTCGAAAATATTTTAACATAATTTTTGCAACTTAATTTTCATTATTAAATTTTACACTTGAAGATTTTTCATTAAAATTTTCGAGAATTTTATTATTTCCAAAATTTATCGAAAGTTAATTTTAAAAAATTTCAATAAAATCAATTTGTTTTCAATTAAATTTTTAAAAATTTCAAATATTCAAAACCTATGTTATTCGAATATTTCGAAAAATTTCATGAAAGAATTCAATTTTTTAAAAAAAGTTTAATATCATTTTTCGAAAGAATCCAATTATTTTTTAAAATTTTAATAAATTCTTCGAAACAATTCAATTATTTTTATAAGTAGTAAAATTCATCGTAAGAATTAAATTATTTTTCATAAATAATAAAATTTTTCTGAGGAATTCAATTATTTTCAATATAATTATTAACGAATTCAATTGTATTCAATAAATTCAAGAAATTTTTCGACAGAATTCAATTATTTTCTAAAAATTAAAAAAAAAGTCAAAGAAATTCTTCAAAAGAATTTAATTAGGATTACCAAAAATTTTAATAAAATTCTTCCCAAAATTTCAATTATTTTCATAAACATTAAAATTTTTCGAAGAAATTCCAAAAGAATTCAATTATTTAAAAAAAAAATGTTGATAATCTTCTAAGCAAACATAATAATTATTTTCATAAAATAATAAAAATTTCAAAAGAATTCAATTATTTTCAAATATTTCGTAACTTTCTTCGCAATAATTCAATTATTTTCATAAATAATATTAAATTTTCACAGGGATTTAATTATTTTAGTAAATAATAACATTCTTTTTAGGAATTCAATTATTTTCACAAGAATTTTATTATTTTCAAACACAAGTTTCATAAAATTTTTCAAAAAAAATACATTATTTAAAATGATTTTCTAAAAATTCTTCGCTAGAATTCAGTTATTTTTGAAAATTTTAATATAATTCGTTGCAAGAATTCATTTATTTTTAAAAATTTCAATAAAATTCTTCGTATCAATTCAATTATTTCCAAAATTTTCCACAAGAATTCAATTATTTTCAAAAATATTAAATTTTTTTTTAGGAATTCATTATTTTCATAAATAATGAAACTCATTGCAGAAAATCAATTATTTTTCAAACAATTTTAATCGAATTCCTTGAAAAATGCAATTATTTTTTAAAAATTTTATGAATATTCCCCGCAGAATTATTCAATTATTTAAAAATTTGTCGATAACATCAGTCGGATAGATGCCTGGCGTTGGTGGTCGTTTAAGGACCAAGGGTATAAGTATCCTTGGTTCGCGCCCACTTGGCTTGGTATTTTTCCGGCACGTGAGACAATCTGAGCGGGAGGTTTGACGTCGAGGTATAATGATGTGCACCGTCGATTATTGTCCGGTACACACCATTAGAACTCGACTGTCGATAAACCGGTTGTACTCAGAGAGGTTTTCTACAGTTTCCCTCTTCTCTGGCGAGAAAACCCATTGACGGGTGGTCCAGGCGTAATGCGAGTACTCCTAATAAAGTCGGCTGTAGACGCAAAATTAGGTTAATATATATATATAGAAAAATTTCTAAAGTAGAATGGTTATGCTTAATCCAAAAAAAAAGTATTTCTCGGGGACTCTTGTCGAAGTGCGTAAGGCCAATAGGGCAGGAGTATAAACAATAAAAAAAAAAAATAAAAAAAAAAAAAAAATAATTGGATTTTTGCAAAGAATTTTATTAAAATTTCTGAATAGGTATAATTGAATGATTGCGAAGAATTTTACTACTTTTAAAAATAATTGAAATTTCGGCAAGAATTTTTATTAAAATTTTTGAAAATAATTGATTTGCGGCTAAGAATTTTGGTATTTATAAGGATAATTGAAATATTGAAAAGAGTTTTATTCAAATTTTAGTTAAAATTTCTAGAAAATAATAATTAAATTGAAGTTGTTTTAAATACTTTCACTTGTTCGAACACTATTTATTTAAATACCATTAATATTTCTATTAAATCTAATTGATTAAATTCAAGAACTTGTTTTTTTGCTATGACTAATACTCTTACGTCAATAAAAATTAAAAATAGATGTCTCAAGAATTAGAGTTGAAACTTCACAGCTGCTTCAGTAAAAATGCTTGAGTTAATTCTCGAGTGTATTTAGATTGAAATGCCTTTTTAAAATTGCTTTATGATCTCGCGCTTGCTTTTGTTTCCTCGTGATAATATTTAACTTATCGCAAGTCTCCGTTTGCTCAGTGAACCTCAGTAGTCTGTCGATTGTGGAACATTGACCGTCATTATTGCTTTGTTATGTAAAATTTTGCGACGCGCCAGTAGTGTTACTTTCATTATTACCACTTTATTTTTTTTAAATAATATTTGCAACAACACTTTTATTATAAACATAACGTACTTAATTGACAGAATTCTTGACACTATTCTTGACAGAATTCTTTAAACGATTCTTGACCCGATTCTTGACCCAATTCTTAAAACAATTCTTGACCCAATTCTTGACCCAATTTTTGTCAGAATTCTTGAAACGATTCTAGACATAATTCTTGTAACGATTCTTGACAGAATTCTTGTAACGATTCAAGAGATAATTCTTAACAGAATTCTTAAAACTGTTCAAGAGATAATTCTTGACACAAATGAAAAAAAAACGTGGAAATTACATAAGCGATGACGGAATAGAGAATTAAGAAAATGAATAGTTTTTCTTCTAACGTAAATAAAGTGTAAAAGAATGATTGGGATTTTAACATTTCGAAATAATTTTTAATAACAACAAAACAATGACGAATAATATTGAGAAAGTATTTATCGAAAATGATTCTGAAACGCAGGAAATCGATCAACTTATGGAAGAGGCAGTGAATCCGAATCCACCTAAGGAGGAATTTAAATACGAGCTGAGACAATGGATTACGGCTTCTGGTGCAATTGTGGCAGCCATTTTGGCAGGCGTAACGGGAGGATTTAGTGCTATTCTGATTCCTCAACTCGAATTCAATTCAACCATCACGGAGTACAATACGAGTTTCGTGAATAATTTCCCCAACATTACAATTCAAACAACAAGTCAAAAATCATGGCTCGGTTTTTCCGGTGCACTTTTATTAGCACCCGGTTGTTGGTTATCGGGATTTATGATTGAAAAATTAGGACGAAGAATGACCCATTTAGTGAGCACACCACTTTATTTTCTCTCCTGGGTGACAATCACAATTAGTTCGAGTTTCACTATTCTGGTTATTGGAAGAGTTTTCAGTGGTCTATTCATGGGACTATTGGCTCCGGCAAGTCCAGTGTACATTGCCGAGACGACGAATCCACGATTGAGAGGAATCCTCCTAGGATGTATTAGTGTTGCAGCTTGTAGTGGTAATTTATTGGCTCATGCAACAGGAACTTGGTTACATTGGAGGTTAGCGAGTTTGTGGTGTGGTTCACTTAATATTATTTGCTTTATTATTTGCTTCCTCTCACCTGAGAGTCCCACGTGGTTTTTGAAGAGGGGAAAAATTGAAAATGCTGCGAGAAGTTGGAAATATCTGAGGGGATCTAATTGTATGAAGGAATTTGAACTGTTGAAAATTGCTCATGCACCGAATTTTTTGGAGAAAAAAAATGTGCAAAGGTTTGATTGGAGTTCAAAATCGTTTTTAAAACCTTTGGGAATTGTGTGTTTGGTGTTTTTTACTGCGCAGTGTAGTGGGGTGAATGCAATTACTTTTTATAGTGTTGATATATTTAGACAAGTGGCTAATCCGGAAGGTGCTTTTATGTGGACTTTGCTGACAGATGTTGTTAAAATTCTAGTGGCTTGTTTAACATGTTGGCTTATTAAGAGGGTTTCGAATAGAGGTCTGGCATTAATTTCAGGTTCGGGCACGGCAATTGTACTTTTTGCGCTCACAATTGTGAAGTATTATGATGTTGGTAATCCGTGGACACCTGTAATTTTGTTAATTGTGTACAATATTACGTCCTTTATTGGCTTGGTACCACTTTCCTGGATGCTGTGTGGCGAACTATTTCCTATGAACTGCAAAGGTTTGGGTACGGGTTTAACTACTGGTTTTGGATTTTTGTGTCTGTTTTTGGTAGTATTGGCGACGCCTTACATGTTTGAGTACTTTTTGGCGTATGGAACTTTTTTTATTTTCGGTTGCGTTGCCGCAGTAGGAACGTCAATGTTGTTTTTCTTTTTGCCGGAAACTAGAGGAAAAACACTTTTAGAGATTGAACGCTCGTTTGACAAGTGTGATTCGAAACTGAAAAATGGATATAAAGCGAGTGTACTTTAAGTTTTTAAAAATTTATAGATTGTGATATAGAAACTGTTACAAAATGAAATGTATATAATATGTGATGATACAAAATGTGTAAAAAATATTACAAGAAACCCAAAGAATATTAAATAAATACTAATTTTATTTAAGGCTGTAAGAGATGTAAAACATTATTTGTAGCATCAAGAAATAAATTCTATTTTATTCTACTAATTTTATTTTACATTGAATTTACTTACAAAGTAATTGTTATAACTTATAAATTTTACTTGGTCAACTTTGATATTAAAAATTATTTTTTGTAAATGTCCTCATTTATAAAAAAAATATTTACTTGGCGAAACTTTTTTGCATCAAAGATATGTTTTTGTTGGGGGGATTTTTTCTTATATGAAATGTGAAAGAAAAATCGAAATTCTTTTTCTACCCGATCCTCATGAAGTAAAAAGTCTATAAATGTTCTACTCTAGCAGAAGAACAGCAATAGAAACAAAAACAGAAATTTGTTTCTTTTCTCGAGTTTAAGTGAAGGAAAGAAGTGTAAAAAAGGGAGTGGAATACTGGACTGCGATAGCAATGATAGAGGGTCACTCGTAAAACATCGTGAGAAAGCACCTAAAGCTACAGCTATATGCTTGCAACGTGTCTCAGAATCCAGTTCGATATAGCTAGACATCAACATCCTTTTCCTTATTTTCTCTTCCTCTTTCTTTTTCATTTCTTGTTAAAAAAATGATCTTTAAAAATTAAAATCCTCTTTTGATTTTAAATACAAAATTTTAATCTGGAAAAAATTAAATTTGTAGAATTCATAAGAAAACTCTTTACAAAATTCTATTATTGTCATAAATAACAATATTCATCACAAGAATTCAATTATTTTCAAAAGTAATAAAATTCTGAGAAGAAATTTAATTGTTTTTAAAAATTTAAACGAATATCTCGTCAAGAATTCAATTATCTTTATAAATTAGCAAAATTTTTCGCCAAAAATTCAATTATTTTCAAAAATTTAAATAAAATTCTATGCAAAATTTCAATTATTTTCAAAGATTCTTCGCAATTTAATGATTTTCAATATTTACTATTTTCATAGAATTGATCAAATAATTTAATTATTGAAAAAAATTTTTTTTACATTTCTACGTAAACATTCAACTATTTTCAAAAATGATAAAATTTCATATAGGAATTTAATTATTTTCATCGCAGAGTTTCCAATATTTTTAATATAATTTTAAATAAATTTAAGATTTAAATAAATTCAAATTTAAGAAACATTCTATTATTAAATAAAATAATAAAATTCGTTGCAATAATTCAATAATTTTCATAAATAACTTTGCATTCGTCACAGGAATTAATTATTTTCAAAAATTTTTAAGTAATTCTGCAAAAGAGTTCAATTATCTTGATAAACAACAAAGTTTTTCACATAAAATCAATTATTTTAAGGAATATTAATAAAATTCTTTTCCAAAATTCAATTATTGTCAAAAGTAATAAAATTTTTTGCAGAAATTTAATTATTTTAAGAAATTTTAATAAAGATCTTTTCAAGATTTCAATTATGTTTATAAATATCAAAATTCTTCCCAGATATTCAATTATTCTCAAAAATTAATTGTATAAATTTAATAATTTTCAAAAGTAATAAAACTTTTTGCAGAAATTTAATTATATTCAAAAATTTGAATTAATTTCTTTTCAATATTTCAATTATCCTAAAAAATACCAAAATTCTTTGGCGAAATCCAATTAATTTCAAAAATATTAATAAAAATTCTTGTCAAAATTTCAATTATTTTCAAAGAGTAGTAAAATTCTTCGCAAAAATTCAATTATATTCAGAACTTTTAATAAAATTCTTTTTAATATTACAATTACTCTTACAACTACCGAAATTCTTAGCCAAAATTCAATTTTTTTCGGAAACTTAAAAAAAAATTCATTTATTTTAAGAAATTTTAATAAAATTCTTTTCAATATTTGAATTATTTTTACAAATAGCAAAACTCTTGACTGAAATTCAATTATTTACAAAAATTTTCATACAAGACTTTGTAATTATTTTCAAAAGTAATAAATTTTTTTGCAGAAATTTAATTATTTACAGAAATTTAAATAATAAACTTTTCAATATTTCAATTATCTTTATAAGTACCAAGATTTTTAGCCGAAATTTAATTATTTTCAGAAATTTTAATAAAATTCGTTGTTGAATTCAATTATTTTCAAAAATTACTATTTTTGAAAATAATTCTTTCTCAAATTCAATTATTTTTAAAAGTAGTAAAATTCTTTGGAGAAGTTCAATTATTTTCAGCAATTTTAATAAAATTCTTTGCAAAATTCCATTATTTTCGAAGGTAATAAAATTCTTTGCAGAAATTCAAATATTTTCAGAAATTTTAATAAAAATTCTTGTCGAAATTTAATTATTTTAAGAAATTTTAATAAAGTTTTTTCAAGTTTTCAATTATCTTTATAAATATCAAAATTCTTCAGTAAAATTTTAATTAAATTCCTTAAAAGAAATTAATTACTTTCAAAAGATATTAATAACATGCTTTGTAAAAATTAAATTCAAAGAAACATTCAATTATTGAATAAATTATTTATTTTTGTATTTAAATAATTGAATTCTCGTAGAATTTTCTAATAAAAATTGATTTAAAAATGAATAATTTCAGTTAAAATTTTAGATATTAATTAAATATTAAAAGCATTATAGGGGGGAATATTTAGAAATAATTGAATTTTGAAAAGGTCTCGAACTCCAATCTTTGAAAATCAGAATTTTTCGTACTTTTAACTAATAATTGTGCCTAGAATTAATTTAATTTTATTATTATATCACTGGGTTATCTTTAATTATTATAAAAACATGAAGAAATCGATTACTCCGAGTCGAAAACTCGGAGTGATCGACTTCTTCATGTTTTATAATAATTTTCTTATAAGTTATTGAATTTCAAAAAGTTTGAATTTGAATCTTTTGAAGAATTCAAATTTCTATGTAAAAATAAAAATGATTAAATATTTATTTAAAAAAGAAGTTGTTGATGTTTTTGAATAATTTCACTATTAAAGAAATTCGTAAAAAAATGTATTAGAACATTTTTCTCAACATCTATAATCATTTTTAGAGTGAATTAGAATATTTTTTTCGGGTTAGGGAAAAAGTTAAAATTTTGTCTGAAAATTAGGGAATAGTCAGGGAAAAAAGAAATTAAATTTTTGTGGCAACCCTGCTTTCGTAAAAAATTTCAGCTCAATTTATTTAATATATATATGTACTTAAAGACAAAAGTGATCGAAAACATTACCATTGAGAACCTAACAATCACATGCTCTGTTAATGTAGCAAAGCAAAACTTACAGATGCAAATGATTTAAACGATTTTAATTATAGCGTTTAGTGATCGAAATTTAAAAGATAATCGGTGGAAATCTTTTTAGATGGGATTGTACGATTGCGGATTTTCGAGCTACTGAATGGCTTCTTTAGCCGTGTCCGATGACTGGAAACAGTCGAATGAAAGCTCAATCGTCTTCCCGCTCGGTTGCACATTAAGCCGTTAACATTAATGGGCAAAGGATCAAATGGAAGAGATGAAGGATAAAATAGGTAGCACCCCTATGTCTGGAAAAAAGGAGTTTTTTTTTATTCCATTCGATATTCCTAGAGGACCTTTAAAATCATTTGACGACAGTGTGCGACAAGAAAGGAAAGGGAAGAGAGAGAGAGATCTCAATACTACAGTTCATACGGATCATTATGCATTCATGAAGATTATATGCAGTTCAAGCACGTTTCTCTTCGGGAAATTGGACTGCGAGACTCTTCTCTTATCATCACTGTAAATTATACTATCGATATGTCCCATCAAATTAACATCGACATGTTGACATTTCACATTAGGATATTCCATTTATTTCTCGGAATAGAATATATATTTTCGGAATACTATTTTTAGAAATTCTATTTCCAAAGTTTTCAATTCATATTATTAGGAGTATTTCGTTAAAATTTCTACTTCTTCATTTAATTAAAAATATTTATGAAAGTTTCTTAAAGTCATATTAATGCTAATTGCTAATGTAAAATTTGATAATATTTTACACGTTTCAAGTGCTTCTGTTTTGTGTGGCAAGTACAATATTTGCAAATAAGAATTAAGAATACTTCGAAACAGTTCATTTGCACAGGTATGCTTATCACATTCAGTATTTATACATCTTGTTATAAATTCTTTTGAAAAATGTATATAGCAGTGAACTTAAATTATTAGTAACAAAGAAAAATGGCACGAGCATATTTTATACAGATAACAAAAATTCAGTATTTTAATTTCGTATTCGCATTAATCAATTTTCAGTATTTTTATGAATTTTTTTTTGTTAATATTTGAAACAAAGAAAAGTCGTAAATTGTAATAAAATTCTTTGTAAAATTCAATTATTTTAGGAAATTTTAATAAAATTCTTTGCAAAATTAAATTATTTAAAAAAAATTTTAATAAAATTCTTTGTAAAATTCAATTATTTTAAGAAAATTTTAATAAAGTTCTTTTCAAGATTTCAACTATTTTTATAAATATCAAAATTCTTCACCAGATATTCAATTATTTTCAAAAATTCTTTTGCAAAAATTCAAATATTTTCAAAAGTAATAAAAAATTCTTCGCAGAAATTCAATTATTTTCAAAAATAGTAAAATTCTTTGTTAAATTCAATTATCTTTGTAAAAATAACAAAATTCTTAGCCAAAATTCAATTATTTTCAGAAATTTTAATAAAATGCTTTACAATATTTCAATTATTTTTACAAACAGCAAAACTCGGAAATTTTAATAAAATTCTTTGCAAAATTCAATTATTTTCAGAAATTTTAATAAATTTTTTTTTAAAAATTGAATTATCTTGATAAATGTAAAAATTCTTCCTACAAATTCAATTATTTCAAAACATTTGAATACAATTCTTCGTAATTATTTCCAGAAATTTTAATAAAATTCTTCGCAAAAATTCAATTATTTTTAGAAATTTTTAGAAAATCCTTTGAAAAAATTCAATTATTTTTAAAAGTAATAAATTTCTTCTCAGAAATTCAATAATTTCCAGAAATTTTAATAAAATTCTTTGAAAAATTCAATTACTTTTTAAATTAATAAAATTCTTTGCAGGAATTCAATTATTTTCAGAATTTT